TGTGGAAGAGCGGGAGGAGGTATGTTGGGTTCATCCCCCACTCGTGAAGGCTGAGTCCTGCTCGACTTAGATGGTCTGCCTGCACGTTCATGTGTCCGGGAATGTGAGTGGCCACGAGGAAAATGTCGTTGGCGATGCAAAGCTCCCACAACTGTATGGCAAGGTTGCAGAGGCGTAGCGAGACAGTGCCTCCGTCTGTTGACATAAGAGAGCGCCGTGGTATTGTCCGTGAGGACTGTGACACATTTTCCGTTGATTAAAGGTAGGAAGCTGGTGACTGCGTGTTGTATAGCCAGGAGCTCTAGGAAGTTTATGTGTCGCTTCCTCATCTGCGCGTCCCATTTGTCTCCAACAGAAAGACCCATGGAGTGTGTACCCCATCCCGTCAGGGAAGCATCCATCATTATGGTGACGGAGGGTGGAAGGGTGCTCCCTGGAGGATATTTGAAGGGACAGCCCACCAAAGTAACGAGTCCCGTATGCTGGGAAGAGGAGATAGGAGGACGGTGTGTGCATTTTTCGACAGGTCGTAGTTGCGGATAAATCAGAGCTGTAAGGGGCGCATTTTTGAGTCTGGCAAAGACGAGAACCGACGTAGTTGCAGCCATCAGGCCTAGCAGCCTCTGAATTTGGAAGGCAGTGACAGAGGGTTGGGTAGGTCTATTCAACGCGGTGGTAAGAAAGGAATTGGCTGGATGTCTGCGCCCACCCCCCTGGGCATGCGTGGTGGGGTTCCTGCGCATGCCCAAGGGACTGGGCGCGAAAATCCGTTGAAAGAGCTTGCTACAGCACTGATCGATCCAGTGCGTGCGCACTGAATCCCATGGGTGTGAAGCACAGAGACCACGTCGAACATCTTACCGTTTTTGTTAAGTTTTCTGAAAGACTATTTCTGCCTCTTTAAGAGGCAGCCTACTTCTGTTTCAAGGCATAAGTATCCTGGCCAGCTGCCTCAAGTTAATCATGTTAAGCTGTCAAATATATGAATTCTTCTGGTATTATCAGAGAACTTTGCCCCAAGCTAGCTACAGTATACAATGAGTGATACCAAAGGTGTTTTGCCAGGCAGATTACCTTGTTCTTCTGCTACAGGCCCTGAGCATGCTTTATGGCCAATAACTGCATGTCAGACAGCTGTGTAGTAGATGTCACACTCTGCCTTGATGCAACTGAGCAGCTTTAACACAATGATCTAAACCAACTGGGTCCAAATTAAGCTCACTATTTTTCATGTTCTTAATTGTATACATTTTGAGCATGATTAAGCAATTATTCAGGTCCACTGCTTTTTGGTGTTCTCTGTCCCTGCAGATATTATGCAAGATCACTTGTTTGAAGATCAAGGCAGAAATCCCATTCAGCATAGCAAGACTTTCTAAAAAGACCATTCATAATTAGGCTGGAAGCTACTGAGCCAGTCAGTGCTTCTCAATAAGATGTAGAATATGAAGTCAATAGTAATTCTGAACTGCAAATGGGGCAGACCTCAAGTAGTCTGAGCATCTGACCACCTGCCAATCGCTAGGACAGTAGGAAGCCTAGAGTTAATGTTTTTCATTTCGATTTTAAAATAGCTCATTTTTAAATCAAGCATTTTTTCCATCCTTGTACCACCATGCCTAATTCATGAGGGCCATTAAAATGGTAGTCTCCTCATATACAAGCCGCTAAATATTTGCTACTTGGTTGTGTTCCATGGGAACAGTCACAAGGTTTGAAGCCCACCAACTGTGTAAGTAGCTTCAATGTGGAGACTCACCTCACGGGGAAGTAAAGCATGCCGCTTTCTACAGAAACTTTCACTTCCATGGTTTGAGCTCTCGAAGGTTTGCGTTTGACCAGACAGAAATAAATACTTGGCTCATGCTGACTTAATGGCAACAGAAAAGTAAGTCGCAAAATACCAAACAGTACTTGCCACTGACTGAAACACAGATGATGCTTTAATCCCAACATCTTAATCTTCATTTCCCACCCACTGGAAACATTTTATAACAGAAACCTGAAACAGATGTGCCTTGTTTGGATTACCAAAGGAATAGCAAAGAGTAACTGCACTGGTATCTACCATATGAAAATGAAATGGAGAAGCCATAGTTTTGAATTTCACAAGAGGCTGTGATACAAGCTTGCATGGGTACTGGTGTATTTCAACAACTTCATTCATGCAGATGCTCATATGATACAACTGAAACCATTGAACATATGATTATGAAGCACCCTACATGCAATGAGTTAAGGGCTAATTTACTTAAAGATATGGAATTGCTAAATGTGCAAGTCTAGGTGTCATGGCTACTATTGGATACAATGATTGTGTCATCCTCTCAGTAGCAAAATTCATAAGCACAATAATCAAATATAAGAGAACTAATACAAAGGTCTTTTAAAAATTTTTTGTTAAGGTGATAGCTGTATGAGCAGAACATTCACAGGCAATTGCTTCGTAAATATACAAGTTTTCACAAACTATTTTGGTATTTACAGGTGAGCTGCTGAAAGAGAGATGTGAGAAGTAGATCTATCTCTGATACTCAAACATGACCAATACATTTCCTTTCCTGGTAAATATATTTAATTCCCTCATTGGATTTAAATCAATGAAATGATGTATGCTTTACATTCTTGCTGGTATGCCCACAATAGGTTTTTTTATATAGGATACATACAAAAGAAGGCCAGAAGTTACAATTAGGAGGTGGCGGCGGCCAAATAAACTGATTTTGCAAAGTGTTATATTCTCCATTTACCAGCCTTGTTTACAGTGCCATCTTAAGCAGAGTTACACCCTTCAAGAGACTTCGAAAGGTGTAACTGCTTAGGATGGCACTGTTACGTAGCACAAACAAATGGGTTGTGCTCGCTTCCTTCTCCTCTTTGCAGGCCATGCCAAGATTGAGTATTGCCTGGTTTAAACCACAAACTGTTGTGCCATTTGACAAACTGCTGTTTGTTCCTTGTCTAAAAATCAGGATTAAACTCTGGCAACCAACAAACTGCTAACTGTTCAATTGCCATGTTTGGATGGCACAACTTGTGGTTGGTTCTGACTGAGGCTGGTGTGTGAGCCTGAGGGCTTGCTACCATCATGAGCCAAATGTTTCACTAGAGCAAAGTCTAGTTTCCTGGGGAGATCAATAAGCCATTACAAAACTTGTTACAAGATTTCTATAAATTACACATGAAGTAAATGATGTCATTCTGATTAACTTATTTTCCTGAGAAACGCAATACACCTTTTCAAATAAAGCTTATACAAATATATGGTCATCGGTTAACCTTTTTAAGCATCTCAGCTGATATTTAACTGACAGAGATGCAGAACTCCTGCGGAAATTTCATTCTTCACAGGTTTGTTCAAACAAAAGTTGTCATTTAATAAACCTATAGTGTTATTAAATGCAGCCCGGCAGAATTTATACTTATTTATCACCAGGTTTAAATAATTCTAAAACTTTCTTCTTTATCCACTGGTAACTGGATGGAGGTTGAACTTAACTTTGTACAATTTAGTATACTACCATGAATGAATGAATGTGTTATTTCAAAATAGAACTTTGAAATACAAATATAAGCAATTATAAATCTTTCTAAAGCGAATACATTTTCCAAGACTGCTAAAATCCTTTAACACTAGAATATGCATGGCTGTATAAAAATGTTTACCATGCCCTACAAAACTTACAGAAAACACAGAATTTCAGTTGTATTACTTGAAGCATGGCATAACAAAAATAGTAAAATATTTGCACATAACTACAAAATGCTTATTTTACTTCAAAGCTGCCTTTGTTCTAAAAATGTTGAAACATGAAAAGATACCACTTCCTAAAGAAGTTAACAATAATAAACATATCGTACAATCTGGCACAGAAGAGGTAAATATTAGAAACAGTCACAAATGAATTTGCTGGTGACTAAAGAATATTTTGTTCTTCACAGCTGGAAGGCCCCTTCCACACGGCCCGGAGGATTACAAGATCTCTTTACTGCTTTCTTCACACTCATAAAAATATACAATGCAGTAAAAATTGGTAAGATAAAAGAATGGGCAGTTCAAATAAAAGCATTGCCTATGTCCCTGATTAGTTGTCATCAAGTGTGAAGATTTTGTCCCAGTTTCTCACAGCTGGTGTTATTTCACTTCTAGAAATGTTAGCTGAAATACCTCCCCTTTTTGCCAGAGTATGTTGTTTTCTCCCTGTCAAATTGCTGATTAACATCTGTAACAGACACTGGCACTAGGCCAGCCCAGGGGTCCTCAAGCATTGAAGGTTTGTAATAGCTTTCCACATCATTAGACACTCTTTTTTCTCTGCCACGAGGTGTACCAAACGGAGTAGATGTCCTGGGTGATCCCTTTGAGGAAAGAAAGCCCAGAGGCAAAAGAAAACAGATGAATTAAAACGTAAGTTTTTACTCTCGGTGTTCAGGATCTAGATCATGTAGAATCATATACAGTTTTTTCTTTTGTAAAGTTTGATTCTATAGGCTAGTCAAAGTGTTGTCCTGTAAAAAGTCATGTCTGTTGCACAATTATTCTGCTTTTCATTTATCCTAGTAAATAAAAATAGTAGAACGAGGGTCCCCAAAATGGTGCCCACCATGTCCTTTTTGAAAATGGGCAGAGCTAGGCTTGGTCTTTTGCCCAGCACGGCTTCTGATCAGCTGGGCAGATCAAAAGGCATCGTATTAAATAGTACTTCTGCCTAAAATGTTGAAGAGATATGGTTAGAGTTATATATCACCTCGCTCCCCATTGTTTTGTGGTTGGCTTCGCATCCTGAGGCAGCCATTTTGTGATTGTGCCCACAGGCTCAAAATGTTGCACACCCCTGTACTAGAACTAGCATGCTCAAAGAAGGCCAATGCTAAAGCAGGTGTGGTTTATATACAGCCTTATATACAGCATGTTTCAGCCTTCCAAAATGAGTGGTGTCCAAAAATCCACAAGTGCTTGTGGTATGCATGTGAAAGTGTACAGCAACTATTTCCAGGTACAGCTCATGCTACAGAGTCTGAGGTTGCTTTCACATCCTGGAAGAGGAGACTTGCAGAGCTCTGAGCCCAGATTACTGTTTTGTGTTAAACAATACAGCATACTGATTGACTAGGTTTTACTGAGCTAGCAGCCCCACAAGTTACCTGCTGTGTTTGTGAGCCAGGTTTCCCTGGCTCACAAGTAATTTGTGGGGGCTTGTTAGCTCACTAGCTTTGAGAGGAGGGGGCCTGAATGGTCTCAGGGCTTCATGTCACCCACTCAGGGAGAGCAACTGCACCCCTGCCAAGCTCTCTCAGGGTCTTTTAACTTTAGGGCTGGAGAACACATCCAAGCTGAACAGGGTATGTATCATTACCCCCTGCAGATCTATGTCCGTATACCTGAACACCTACCTGAACAATGAGGCAGAGTAAGTTCAAGGGCACTTTTGGGTGGGCATTAAAATCGAACAAATTAGATGTTACCACTGTCACTCACATAATTATTTACCATGACAACAACTTCAAATGAAAGATATTCAGCTGTCCGACTCCTCAACCAGCGCTAGTGCCTTTTTGGTCCTGGTGCTGGGGTGGTGGAACTCTCTGCCTAATCACATCCATGCCCTGCCAGACCTAGTGCAGTTCCCCAAGACCCGTAGGACAGATATGTTCTGCCAGGCCTATGGTTGAGGACAGCAATGGTTTTAATTGAGCCTGGCCTCCTCTGTCTCTCCTCTCCCCTCATGGGGCACGGACATAAATCTGCACAATCTGAAACAGTTACAGAATTTGTCGTTTTAATCCATTTGTAAATGTATTTATTGAAATACCGTTCACCACCCTGAGCCCTATGCCTAGGGGAGGGCGGTCTCTAGATCAAATAAATAAATACAAATAAACTGAAATACCAAGGCAGAATGGGCATACCCCTCCCAAATTAAGTCATTCAAATAAGTTCAAAGCTTGTTACTACTTTAATGTTATCTGAGGATTAAGTAAAACAATCCCTGACAAAAGGGCTCAAAAACAAAGTATCCTTTTCTTAATTTAAAAGAAATAACCATAGCCATGCTTATAAGAGTTAAGTACTACATAAATAAGCATACCATTGAGGTTCAGGAGGACTAGTTTTAAATCAAATTGTGCATATTAAGTTTATGGACAAAGCTGTTTTATGTTTTGCTAACTTTTTACTACCCAGAGCAGCTTCTCTGAAGAGGTAGCATAGAAATCATTTCAATTTATTTATTTATTTATTATTTATTTATTTATTTTTGGGATTTATATCCCGCCCCATCCCGTATTCAGCTCGGGGCGGCTTACAAAGTTAAAATGTCAATACAAAACAACAGAATAATAAAAATATATCCAATATAAAATTTGGTGCTCAATTAATTTATATAAAAACCAAGATGGACGACGTCCCACACTGTTCGAGAAAAGGCATATTTTAAAAATCCAATCAGCACAGCATTTGCCCTAAAAGTTAACTGGGTGAATTAATTCTTAAAAGAAAGCCCACCAGCCTAGTATTAAGCTGGTAAAGCAAAGTGTTAGCTGCTGTATGAAGCCAGAGTACCTTTGATTCAGTAAACATTCTAAGTGACTCTCATTTTCAAATGGAATACTGCTTAGTATCCCTTGAACTTCTCCAAAGGTCAGCTCTGCTGTTTATTTCAAATGTAAACCCTCAAAGGAATGTTACAAGCATGTTTCTTACTAAGGGTCCACCTAATTCAGCATATTGTTCTACCTGGGAAAGGTAGAAAGACAAGTCCGCAAACAGGATTCAGAGACAGCAGCAAGAGCAATTTTCAGCAGGCCTACTCAGAATCCTACTCAGTTCTATTTACTAGAGCTTACTCTCAGGAAAATGTTCTTAAGAGTGCACTTGAGTCAGGTGAACAAACACTCAGGGAAGTTCCATCTGTATTAGTCTCTGCATAGGGGGAAGGCATGTTTTCCTGGTGGTTTCTTATTTCCATGAGAACCTTTAACTGGTTTAAGTGGCAGGCCATCCAGCTCCCTGCCTTTTAATTGGTAATGTGTGTGTGGTGAGAACTGAATTAAACTTAAGAAACCTGCAAATAATTTTTTGTATCCTAAAATTATGGATTCTGCTGCCTCGTTGCCAGATCTCATTACTGAGCCAGGAATTTCTCTGCCTTTAACTTCAAAAAGTGAGGGAACAGAAATGTGTATTTTTAGCCTTCCCCCCCACCAATAGTATTTTACACGGCAACAGGTTTGCACCACAGCCTTTTACAGGCCTTAATGCCTTCCCATCCAAAAAACCCCAGTAACACCCACCGGAGCCTCAATCACATACAGAAAATCCTTTTCGGACAGGCTTTGCAGAGCCCAGCCAGGCCAGTGTTCTCTAAACTTTTTTTCATGGGACACCATTCTATGCCAACTCACTTTTAAAACACGCAGAACCCCTGTGCCAAAACCCCAACAGCACTACATTACTTCAGAAAGCTTCAGTGCAAGGTGCACAAGCATCACCAGAAGCTCTAGCGTGGCAGTAGCCTGACTTCGCCAAGTCTCTCCATCCTGAAGGAAGCTTCCCCAGAATTAAACTGAACTGATTCCCAACCGAGCCCTCGGGTCCTACGCACGCTTCCCAGAGAGTAAAGGCCCACTGAACACGGTGAGACTTAAAACTCAGAAACAAGTCCCACTACATTCAGGAGAGCTCACTTCCAGCAAATAACACATTTAAAACCACTCATGCCCATCTGTCGGCCGGTGCAACGGGGATGCTTGGAAGCGTGAGACGGGGTGACTACCAATGTTCCCTCTAAGCTGTGGAGTCCTGTGAGCAGAGATTCTACTTTGTGAGCTACTGGCATTAAAAGTTGTGAGCAGGTAGTTTGGCCGCTGCATAAAATGAGTTTGCTCTGGAGCCATCTTTCCTGAGCTAAGATAAAAATGTGTGAGCTGGAGGCTAAAAAACTGTGAGCTAGCTCACACTAACTCAGCTGAGAGGGAACACTGGTCACTACCGCGCCCCAATAAATCCAAAGGGGCTTATTGCTAAGTCGCGGTCGCGCCCCTCCTGAATCTGCCCCCCCCCACCTCCACTGGCTTCACTGGCGAGTCAACCGGAGGCGCCTCGCCTTCCCTCGCCTGCTCCCACCCCGCCGCCCCATACCTGGCCGTATCTCTGGTAGCCGCCCGAGTGGGGTTGCTTGTAGGGCCGCGACGGGTGGGCGGCTCCCCCAGGGGACCAGCCACCGCTGTACGCGCCGCCTTGCTGGAAGCTGGCGGGGCTGCCGTAGGGCCGCGAGCGGTGGCCGTAGGGTGGCGTGTGGCGGGGGCTCCCGTAGCCTTGCGGGGAGGCTGGCAGAGGGCTGCCGCCGCCGCCGCCGGAGGAAGGGCTCCGGAACCCGCCGCCGGCCAAAGACGGAGGCGTCGGGGGACGGAAGTTCTGGCGGTACATGATGGCGGCGGGAGGCGATGGCGACAACCGTCGCGCTTCCACAACAAGCCGCCTCAGGGTGGGAGGGGCGCAAAGGATTGTGGGTCGCGGCACGCACGGGAAAGCCGCTCCGACCCAGCGGCCGGCGTGACGTCACAGAGGCGTGCGGAACGTGCTGAAGCAAAGACGTTCCAGGAAGTCGGGCGGAAATGCAAAAAAGAGACAGCTCAGCGGAAGGTGGAGTCCTTACACGGCAATCGGGGAAGGATAAGCCTTTTTAAATACTGAGTCTGATAAACAGTTTGAAAGTTGGGCTATTTGGGTTGGTCCAGATTGAAAAGGGAAAGTATTCGATCTTTTTTGGAATTGTTATGGGATTCAGGGAATAGCTGGACCTCTAAATGTGTTCATTCAATACTCACGCGGAGTGCAGGTTTTTCAAAACTGTTTCTACAAGTATCTATACGGTGGCTTACATAACCAACCATAAAATCTTTAAAAGCACAATATCAGCAACAACAATAGAATAAAACAACAGCTTTACTTCTGAATCAGCATACTGTTTTGTAGGTCTCCATCTGCAACTCACACATAAATTGTCTATAGCTGTTAAGTCAATAAATAAATCGAGCATATTTGGTACTCAGATTTTATCCCAACACACTTGCAGGTTTCCCCCTTTGCAGTTAAGGTGGAGAATAAGTTCCATTGTGTAGGACTGGGGCCCTGCTGTCCAATACTCAATTCCTTAACTATTCAATATCAGCAACTAATCTGTACTCTAAAGTACTACTCTTTTCAATAAGGTTTTGTCTCAGACACCAGCTCCTTCTTCTTTGCTGCCTCTTTCTGGTCCGTGAGACTTGAGTCTTTGTGAGAACAGGCCAGGGGGATTATAATTGAGCTAAGTAAATAAATACTCCATACACACTACAAACAGGAGTAAATGCTATTGAGATCGATAGGATTCATTTCCAAAGACATGTGGAATACATAAGACTGGGCTATGGAGGCAAAAATTAAGTTGTATTGTGGCATTTTATTTCCATTTCTTTTAAGTACTCTTGCCTGCCATTTGCAGATCACTCTTGCTCTGTGTGGTGACAAGTGAAGATAGCCCCCCCACCCCCGTGTAAACTTGAAAACCATTACAAGTGAAGCTTTTCCTGGTATAGGAATCCAAGTGGTGGCAAACCTTTCGGTTTCAGTTTGCTATGCAGCTGGTTAAAGACATGGGATCTTTCCTTTTTTTTTCCCTACAAATGGTGAGCACCTTAACAAAAATAAGCACCAGTCAGTAAAAATAAGAAGAAACTGTAGTTTCAGATAACAGCAATACTTTAAAAAGCAGGAATAGGGATACAAAGACCCAAAAAACAAACAAACTTCACTGTAAAACAGAAATCAGGTATCACATTTTGTGCTGCAGGTAAACAAAGAGGGACGTTTCTATTAGGGTTGCCAACCGCCAGGTGGGGCCTGGAGTTCTCCTGGAATTACAATATCTCCAGACTACAGAACTCAGTTCTCCTGGAGCAAACAGGAACTTTGGAAGATGGACTCTGGCACTATACCCCACTGACATCCCTCTCCTCCCCAGACTCCACCCCCAAAATCTCCAGGAATTTCCCAATTTTGAGTTTCTATTAACAGAATCCTATGCAGAGATACTCCAACGCAGGAAGTGAACAGGATTGCACTGTAAGCATAGAGGATGTACCTCTTTCTTGGCCCTTCCTATGGGCTCAAGGCCCATTACCGGTCACTAGCCAGAGCACACACTCCTCCCGACAACCATATGATACAACGGAAAAGGGGGGAAAGAACAGAAGCCGGACCGACGTCTTGACACCAATGCTCCCTCTAAGCTGTGGAGTTTTGTGAGCAAAAATTCTACTTTGTGAGCTACTGGCATTAAAGTTGTGAGTGAGCGATTTGGCTGCTGCATAAATTAGTTTGCTCTGGAGCCACCCTTCCTGAGCGAAGACAAAATTCTGTGAGCCGGAGGCTAAAAAACTGTGAGCTAGCTCACACTAACTCAGCTTAGAAGGAACACTGCTTGACACCACCCTCCGAGGCAAAAGCCTCGAGAGTTGCGCTTGCGCACTTTAAGCAAAAGTTCTCCGCCGCCGAGTTGAGAGGTAAATGAGCCGAGCCAGCGCACTTGCGCAGTGTATGTCTCCGGGCGCTTCGCCCAAGAGTCCAAAAGTTGTGCTGGGCGCTGATCCTACCAGTTGCTGCCGAGCATTCCCCTTTGGCTGGCCTCCGCTGTGGCGGTGGGCTCCTCTCAGCTACAGAAAATGCTGGCGGCTGTGCTGGGAAGGAGGTGGTGCGACGGGTCTCGTCTCGGAAAGAGTCTGTGTCCGGCTTCACTCAGCAGCCTCCGCTCCACGCGCCTTCCCCTTTGCTGCCCCCAGTCCCCGGGACTGCCCTCCTTCCTTGGCAGCTCCAGGGGAGTGCAGCAGGAAAGCTGCCCCCACGCAGGTAGCCGCTTTTAACATTCTTACATTCACCAAGGCCCTCGGATGCTTGTAGGGAGGGCTCCCAAACACATCCGCACGTTCCTGGTGTGAAGACGAGTCGGTGAGGAAGCGTCGAGCCTCTTCACTCCAGAAGTTTATTTAGCTACACTTGCAGTCCGGTCCCAAACAGAGTGAGAACCTTCTGATCACGTTGACTCCAGTGAGGCTGAGAAGGGGGCAACTCTCTTTAGGATCGCAGAGCAGTTGGAACAGAGTTCCTGTACTGTCTTCTCCATGTCTACGTGACAGGGTGTTTGCTTCTCAGTAAATAAATGTGCATAGGATTGTGGCCTTGTTTATTATTTGCCGGGAAAAGACCACAAATAGAAAATCAAATCCTCTCCTTTATGTTGTGCATAGGCTGCAATCCTATATACTCTTACCCAAGAGTCTTATTGAATGCAATGTGGTTTGCTTCTGAGTAGACCTGCTTAGGATTGCTCCCTGATCATCACTTCCAAATAAACACTTAGGAATGAGCTTGTAAATTACATGTAAACAGTACTTGTCACTGGAATATAAAGCTAAAGTCATAAATTACACAGGGAGAGTAAATTCTTCCAAAATATTTTTGTGATCCCCCCTCCCCCCTTCATACACAAACCTAAGGAGATTTTACTGTGGGTCTCAGTCCTCCTTTAGCAAATTAGCTCTCTTTCAATGTAAGATGAAACGGGAATTCTTTAATACATTCATGATGGTGGTAATTGTTCAGACAAAAAAAAGCACTTCTTCACCTGATGTGTAATTAACTTGAGGAACTCAGTGCCACTGGATGTAGTGATGACCCCTATATAGAAAGTTTAAGAAAGGGGTTAGCTATATTCACAGGGTAGGGAAGGTAACAGCTATGTGGAACCTCCATGTTTAAAGGTAGTATACCTCTAAATAGTGATTCCTGGGGACAGTGTCTGAGGAGTTTGATTTGTGTAGTTTGCCTCTGTGGGAAACATGATGCTGAGCTAAATGGACCACTGGTCTGATTCCAGAACCTTTTAAGTTCTGGACTGAATCATCTACAAGAACACAGTATGACCTTCTATATAAATACTTACTGGTGGGGAGAAAATGCTGTTTTGTGAATTGAAAGTATTGTTGTATATAACAATTTTAAAATGTTAGCATAATTATTTTCTGCCTCTCTTTTGTGGGGGGGTTTTAAGCTGCTGCTATCTTTGATCATGTCTGTGTTTTTAGGTTTTCATTCTTTAGTGTTGCGCTGACTTTCCGGTTAAAATTTTCCAAGGCTTATCATTTTCCCATTCTTTTGTGAAGCAGCCAACTAGTAGCTGTATTAGTATTGACAGGAGAACAATTTTCCTATTGTTTATGAGAGCCAGTATGTTGTGTAGTAGTTAAGGGCATTGCACTAGGATCTGATTCAGGTGGGTAGCCATGTTGGTCTGAAGCAAGAGAACAAAGTTCGAGTCCAGTGGCACCTTTAAGACCAAGAAGATTTAATTCGGGGGTGCAAGCTTTTGTGTGCATGCATACTTCTTCAGATTTGAAGAAGTGTGCATGCCCATGAAAGCTTAAACCTAGAATTAAACTTTTTTGGTGTTAAAGCCAGTTTGGTGTAGTGGTTAAGTGCGCGGACTCTGATCTGGGAGAACCGGGTTTGATTCCCCACTCCTCCACTTGCACTTGCTGGATGACCTTGGGCAAGCCATAGTTCTGGCACAGCTGTTCTTGAAAAAGAGCAGTTTGTGTCAGAGCTCCCTCAGCCCCACCTACCTCACAGGGTGTCTGTTGTGGGGAGGGGAAGGGAAAGGAGTTTGTAAGCCACTCTGAGACTCCTTTGGGTAGTGAAGGGCGGGGTATAAATCCAATCTCCTCCTCCTCCTCCTTCTCCTTGCCACTGGTCTCAAACTTTGCACTAGGATCTGGTTTGAATCTCCACTCATGCCATGGGAGCTTACTGGATGACCTTTGGCCAGGCACATGCTCTCAACCTAACCTATCTCATGGGGTTGTTGTAACAATAAGATGGAGGAGAGGAGAATGACACGGGCTGTTTTGGGTCACAATTGGGGAGAAAGACTGGGTATAAATCAAGTGAATGAATAAATGAAATGAGTATACAGAGCAGAGTCTGTCAGGTGGATGAGTTACATGAGTGTGTATAAAAATGACATTTTTTTAAAAAAATTCTCCCTTTACAGGAGAGATTAAAAAATACTAGTTTAGGAAACAATTGGACTATGTTGGCCTCTCTATGGTGATCCTTGATATGGCTTTCATAGATCTGTCTGCCCTTATACCGTTTGAGGAAACATCACCCAAGAAATGACAAAATGAAGTATACTAGTACAAGAAAGCATTTCAAAAATAGGGGTGTGTCATAAACTGCAAATTGGAAAACCACCTGAACTCACAGCATGAGCAAATGTGGTAGACATATAGTTTTAAACAGTATTAAATGCACTAATGACAAGTGTGTGAATACCCAGAAAAATAAACACAGTGGTCCCGTTCACACGGAGAAGTTGCCGTGCTAAAGACACGGATGATAGGCGGATTTTCAGTGCGCGATCACACCGCAATATCTGGGAAGCGTAGTTCACCCGTGGCTAACCAGTGGCTTCCCGCCGAAGATGCGGAGTAAAAAACTACCGCATACGTAACACACGTGACAAATTACAGATTGCCAGCCAAACTCTGTTTCAACTATATCTTCATCAAACCATTTCTGGGTTATCCTCTTTATTCGGATTGAGAATAGCCACCAGTTGAAGACAGGGAGCCAAAAAAGGTCTCTTGGCCATGCTATATGTAATGGGGGGGGGGGAAGCACCTTGAGCCGTGAGGAAAGGCAGGATACCAATGTTTTAACAAATAAAAACAACATCTGCTGATTTGTTTGTATTGTGGGTTCTCAATCTGCAGTTGACAACACACCCCTGTTTCTGACATACCTTCTGATACTAGTGTACTTTGCTTTTGTCCCTTTTATTCTGCCTCTGTTAAGGAAATTGGGAAGACTTCCACGCTGAAACATCCACCTTAGAATGGATCGATAACCTTTCTCTGTTTGGTACCCAGGTGCTAATACTGTGAAGCCCCTTGATGGTGTGAGGATTCTCGATCTAACAAGGTACATGTGACTTCTGACTTGAGCGATCAGCAGCTTTTAAAGTTTCCTGATGTGGTGATTACATGAAAGTGATTGTTCTTTTACCGTTGGCAGAGTGCTTGCAGGGCCTTTTGCTACCATGAATCTGGGCGACCTTGGAGCTGAAGTGATCAAAGTAGAAAAACCTGGTAAGGTTTATTCCTATTCAGTGCTGCATGATTTTGGAATGACCTTTTGGTCCCGGGGAAATGGAGACAGAATATACATTTAGCGGGCACAAACCAGCAGAGAGCAAAGCATACGTAAACCCAGTAATTTCAGTGCCCTCAGTTCTTTGTATTATGACCTATAAAAGCTCCTGAGGGTCAGGAATAGGGTGACCAGATATCCTTTTTCTCAGATGACAGTCCTTCCTGCCCTCTCTTCCTCAAAATGTTTGGGTTTGGCTTCGGTCTCATGAGATTCATATGTGAAATGTGTATGTTTTTTCTTGGATTTTTTTTCATAAACATTTTAGTGACAGCCTCAGCTTTGCTTCATGAACTCTAGCATTATAAACTTTTCAGTTTAGAAAAGAGACGGCTAAGGCGGGGCATGATAGAGGTTTATAAAATTATGCATGTTGTGGAGAGAGAGGACAGAGAAAATTTTCTCCCTCTCCCAGGGCTTTCTCGGTGGTGGCTCCACTCTGGTGGAATGAGCTCCCAGAGGAGATCAGGGCCCTGCGGGACCTCATGCAGTTCCGCAGGGCCTGTAAAACGGAGCTCTTCCGCCAGGCTTTCGGAGCCACCACCACCATTAACCACCACCGTTAACAACTAACAACTGATAGCTGAAGGTGAGAGAGCACTTTGTTTCCCCGGAACACTTAATAACAGCTCGAGTCAGCCGCTGGAAGGACAATTAAAAGAAGACCGAGGAACCAACTATGAGAAGAGTGCACTGAGTAATCACAGCCATTAGGAATTAATGCCACTAGCACTTTATTGAGTTGGATAGTTTAATGATTTTAGAATTGTTTTAGTCTAATTTGATTCATGTTTTATTGTAAATTATGTACTGATCTAATGTAAGCCGCCCTGAGCCAGCCTTGGCTGGGAGGGTGGGGTAAAAATCCAATAAATAAATAAATAAATAGAACTCAAGGGCATCCAGTGAAGCAGATAGGCAGTAGATTCAGGATGAACAAAAAGAAATACTACTTTACACAGATAGTGATGAAAATGTGGAATTTGCTGCCAGAGGATGTAGTGATGGCCACAGGAATAAACAACTTTTAAAAGCGGATTAGATAGATTCATGGCTACTAGCACTGGTGATTGAGGGGAACCTCCATGTCCAGAGGCACTAAGCCTCTGAATCCCAGAGCCACGGGGCAACATCAGGGGAAGGCCTTGGCCTCTGTGCCCTGTTGTTGGCCATCCAGAGGAACTAGGGTTGCCAAGTCGATCTTCGCTGGGAGCGGGGGGCTCCCGGCCGGTGTCTGGTGCGCGTGCGCCGCATGCACATCACCCGGAAGTGACGTGACGACGCCAGGCACGCTGGGGGCGGGGCCACGGCCATACGAGGGCAAACTATAGAGTTTTCCCTCGGATGGCCGTGACCCTGTCCCCAGCGTGTCTGGTGTGGTCGCGTCACTTCCAGGTGACACACACGTTGGGGAGGAGTTCCCCCCAGGGCCCGATCCGGTGGCGGGGAACGGGCCTCTGGGGCGGGGGTTTCCCCGCCCCCTGGGGGGACTTTGGAAGCCTAAGAGGAACTGTTGGCCACCGTATGAGACCGGATGCTGGACTAGATGGATCCAGCAGGGCTCTTCTTGTGTTCTTATAAAGAGCTGTACTTCTATTTAAATTATAGCAGCTATGTATACACAGTTTTAGCTATGTAAATTCACATATGCTAATTTTGTCCTCTTTTTTTGGGCTCTTGAGTCCTTTTTGTTTTTGTCGTCTGTAGATGGCCTACAACCCCTAGTCAGGAACCCTTTGAGTCACCATAGGGATAAACGTTTGTTCTGCTATCTTTTGATACATTATGTCAGAGGAATAATTTAGATGGTTGCTGTCAGTATTGCCCTGGTGATCTGACTGAAATAACTACAGATCCAAAAAGTTGGCTGCAACTGTTAGGCTGATTGGCTTAGAAATACATGGCAGAACTTATGAGGTCGCTAATAAAAGATGTTGCTGCTGTTGTTATCTTGTTAGGTCTTGCGAACTGATAGCATCTCATTTGTACTTTATTGTCCCAGAAATATTATCCTTGCTATATTTCCTGGTCCTGCTTCCTTGACAAGAAAATACTGCAAAAGCATTCTTGTGACCTCTGGAAACAAAATGTTCCACATGTCCTTACATCTGTCTTGAGTGAAGTTCTTGCTCTGGCATGTTAATTGCACATATGTTACCTGTTGGAGATCCAGATGTCTAACTGGTCACTGTGGGCACTTATCTCATATCATGTACATCCATACATAACTCCACTTACTGCAGGAGAGGTCTTGTGCAAAGTATTAGAATATAAACTCCTGTTGATTTATCCTTTATACAGCAAAGTTCACGGACACAGGGGATCTTGAGTACTGATCTCCCAGCCGCATTTTGAAGGGGTGATCTATGTGTTCAGAAAAAAAAGTCCTCCTGTTGATCAGGCCTCTTGGGATTGCGCTACTTCAGAATGCAGATTGCAGGTTTGAAGGATTCTTTGCATTAAAAGTTTCCATCCCTTGGAAAATGTTATCATGGAGAAAGTCTCTGTCCCAGCTTTCATCTGGTCAAGCTTGTTTTCTTCATGCAGGAAAAGTTTTATGTATGGGGTGAGACATTTAAATGTGTGATTTCCCCCATCTCTGTTTTATTAGTGGTACAGTCTAAAAAGGCACTTTCACATATGCTGAATAATTTATTATTTATTTATTTATTTACCAAATTTATACCCCGCCCTCCATGCAGAGCAGGCTCAGGGCGGCTTCCATACAGACATAAATACAACTTAAAATCATACAATTATTAAAAAAACAGATAAAACAGATACAAATACAAAGTGCTGGCGGCAGTTAAAATTAACTTCGATGGCACATTTTCAAGAAGGATTTCCGCTTCCCAGATGTTCTCAGATGTTCTTCTGCTCGTAATTTCTTATGTCATCGGCTCAATGTTAAAACCATGGGCCAGGGCTCTACAGCAGCGGCGGCCCCTAATTGAATGCCTGGCGGAAGAGCTCCGTTTTGCAGGCCCTGCGGAACTGTGAGCCCTGCTCACCCTCTGCCTATACGTATGGGCTGGTAATTTCCATCTCATTGTATCTGAATAAGTGTGTGTGCGCACGAAAGCTTATTCCTTGAATAAAACTTTGTTGGTCTTAAAGGTGCCACTGGACTTGATTGTTGTCCTTAAACTTGTCTTCTTTCTTTACTTTGGAATGCAAGTGACACCTGGTGGCCTGAAATTCCAATGGGGTAACCATAATGCACTTTCAATCTACTTTGCAATCATTTTACTGCATGAAATGTCAAGATCCACTTGCAAATTATTGCTGAAGTGCATTGAAAGTGGACTGAAAGTGCATTATTCAGTGTATGCAAAAGTGTTGGTGATAGGGTTCCAGGTCCCTTTCGCCCACCGGTGGGGTGGATGGGGAGACATTCCGGGAGTAGGAAGTGATATTGCCCCCCATTCCCCCCCAAAACAGTGACATCACACGCGACATGCCTATGTCACCCGTAAGTTACATCAGCACGTCACTGATGTCGGGGGCGACACTCACGATTTTAGGCAAAACTATGGTAAAATCAGCATCATACCATAGAATTTTGTCCAAAATTCAGAATGTCACCCCCCCCCCAACATTGCTGGTATGCCAACATCACTTCCAGGTGTTTTGGGAGGGGGTTCCCTCCCACCGGCCAGCTGTCCAGTGGCAGGCAGGAGCCCGCAAAATCAGGCAAATGACAACTCTAGTCGGTGAGCTTCCAGCTCACATGCTTCACCCTCCCCTCTTTATCTCCCTGTACTTCCTGGTTGTTGGCAACCTCTTCATCTGAATCAGCATTTGGCAAGTTATATTTTTGGCTCTTCTCCAAATTTCAAACCATAATTTGATTGTAGTTTGCAATATTCGTTTGGAGGAGAACTTTATAGATGGCCAGTTTGCACCAGAGATGTGGGCTTTCTGGAAAAAGTAGAATCAGAAAACTTTCTGAAACATTATCTGATTATTTTGACTGGTGTTTAGTAACCATTTTTTTAATTCAGTAAACATTGACACACTAATTGTAACACACTCAAAGCACTGCATCATGTGCATCATCATGCATCATTGATGTGGTTGCCCAATCATGTATTTGAATGCAATTTAACCCTCATCCACAGATCGCTGGAGCACCTCATTATTTGCAGTACTTGTTAGCTCCATAGTAGCTTGTTGTTTGCAAAATTTTAGAGGAATGCATAAAAGTCTTCCTGTGTGAAAAAAAAAATTGGCTTTGATTTGACCTGCATACTCAGTCAGGTGAATTTGTAACTGGATTTGGGGTGGGAGACTATTAAATATTTTTGTGGTTTTGTTCCCCCTTCCTTTTCCGAATCAATAAAACATACATTAATTTTATCACACAATTCTTGGAGATAATCATCTGAAAATCATGAGTTATAACTTTGAAAACAGCCAGACTTGCCAAATATTGTTTTGGTGATGACATCTATTCATTTTTATTAAGTGTATGAAACAATGAGTCTTTAGAAATGGAAAAATCTCTGCAGAAAAATAAAGCACTAGGAAATGTTGTGCAGAAAATTGTCTGCCCTGCATCTCTCGCTTAGGTTAACCGGTGAAACCATGGTTTGCTGCAAATCAGGAAGTACAGAAGTACAGAAGTTGGGGGGGGGGGACATGCACATGAGCCCTGGAGCACTAAATATGAATCAAGCCGTTTGACGTGTTGAATACATTCATCAGCTCTGAATTTTCTATACATTGGCACAAGACTGATCCTAAGCTTTGATCTTGTGATAGATGTGTTATGATACACTGAAGTACAACAAGACTGTCACTGGAGAAGCATATATTGGTCATTATGCATTTCATAGGTGGTGGTGTAACGAAAAGCCATGCAGTTTACCTAAGCTGAATTGGCTCAGATGGCTTAATGTACTGTGATGTACTGACCTCCAAAAGCAGGATGCTTACT